GTCCTCGGTCCGAGTGTGAGTACCGGAAAGCTGGTTCCAGGCCCATCAAAGGATGGCTGCGAGGTTCGGCTTCCCCTCTGCTGAGCCTGCTGATTGTCTCCCCTGTGGCTTAACAGCAAGCCTTCCTTAACAAGCACCCTGAGTAGCTGGGGTTTTAGAAGTCTCCAGGACCAGTAATTAATCCAGCTGGTAATGAGAGCACCGTGCAGTGCATGGTGCTGAATTCTAGAGAAGAACCATTTAACTCTTTCTACCCTGGACAGTTTGTTTTCCTTTGTTAATAGTGCCTTAGCCTTAAAACTACTTATGGGACAGGCCTCAAAAGAAGCAGGTGCAGACTTGCCTTTTTTCAGTGAACTCTCCCAATCGCTGTACATTTTAAGTCAAAGCAGGCAGCTTCTCCCCCAAATGTAGAGACTTGAAGGAATGTTTACAGGGGTGTTTTGATTCACCTGTGGGGTGGGCCTGGTGAAGCGTTGGCAGCTAGCACTAGAAAGCAGGGCTCTGTCTCTGCAGCAGACCCTCCCCTCGACAGCTCCGTTCCTCTGGGTCCCTCTTGTAATTGATGGGGTTTCTGCCTGTGGCTCCAGCTTCCCTCTGCATCATCTCCACTTCGCCTACCCTCCAGCCAGCCTCTCCTGCCTTCTTCCCGTAAATCACGGCAGCAGTTCTCAACCTGTGGGTCGTCACCTCATTGGGGGTCCATTGGCCCTTTCACAGGGGTCGCCCGATTCATAACAGTAGCAAAATGACAGTGATGAAGTAGCAACGAAAATAATTCTCTGGTTGGGGAGTCACCACAACATGAGGAACTGTATTTTTTTTTTTTGAAACGCTATTTTTAACTTTTAATTAAACCTCCACATAGCTTCAAGCCACCAGGACACAAGGCCCCCCCCCCCACCCCAACACCCTTAATCTTCTCAGCTCTTCTGCTGAAGAATTTGGCCTTCACAATGACAGGTTGCTTGGAAAGTTAACCCTCCCCAAAAACTTTGTAGTAGCCCGACCGAACCACGTCCATGCTGGGTGCAGCTCCAGTCTTGTTTTTGGCAGCATTGACCCTGGTCTGCTCACTGACCAAGGTCCACAATGTATCGAGGTTCACAGTTGGGCAGAAGTTCTGGTTCCTCTTCAAGTGGTAATGTCGCATACCGACTTCCAAAGTCTCCCGGATGGTATTTGTCGAAGTGGATCCTGTGACGATGCAAGCCACCAGCATTCCCCCGCCTCCTGCGTGCTTCCAGAGCTTCTCCATGCGGCCGTGGCCGTGGCTCACGTGGCCCCTAAGTTTCCGGGTCTTCCTCAATCTGGAGGGCATGTCAGCGGCCAAGACGAAAGAGCGAAGAACTCTATTAAAGTGTCACGTCATTAGGAAGGTTGAGAACCACTGGTTTAAGAGCTTCCCCGTCTTTGAAGCCCGTGAGAGATTTTCCACTTGTCTTTTCTCTCATTGTAGTTGTCCTTGAGACACCTTTGCTGCTGATTCCATTAGTAATCAACCTGCAAGTACATTAAATGCTCGAGAACCAGGCAGAGCACGTCGCGTAATCGACCTGTACCTTGGAGGTGGGCTGGTATCGGCTTGCTTCCTCTGGGTGGGGTTTGGCCCACACGAGCACTTGGGCCCTTTCATGGTTCTTGCATTCCGTACATCTCATCTCTGGCTACCCTGTGTAGCCAGACAACAAACAAACACCCGTGCGCCTCCTGCCCTCCTTCCACCCGGCCCGTCTTGAAGAGAGGAGGAGGAGGAGCGTCTCTGGTTCGTCCTAACACTGTGGTCAGGGAGCAGAGAATGGTTTCAGAACGTTGGGTATGTCCTTAATTTTCTAGAGTAGACACCTCGATTTTCCTGATGTAAAAAAATAAAATCTCCTTTAACTTTGAAATATTCCTTTTTGGCAAATAGATGCAGTTAGCCTTTGGGAGAGACTCCCTAGCGGATTCAGGATGAAAACCAATGGGTCAAAGCCATACTCTTTTGGAACCCTGCTGTGTTGTACATTCAGAGGCATTTCATTTTTTACGTAATAGATTTGGAGAGCAGATGATTGAGGCATCTTTTGGGGAAAAGAACATATTTGTTGCCTCATAACATAAAATGATCAATCAGTTGCCAAATAGATATTGTGTACCTGTTGTAGAGATATACGGTCCCTAATAAAATTTACATGAGAAAAATCAGAATTAATCTGTGGTTCAAACTCTTAATTTTATAGTCAAATTTAGAAATGCTGTAGGAATTGCTGAGAAAAAAGTCATTAAGCTAATAAATCAAGGTGCTGCTAATCTGGTGCACCTGAGTAACCTCCCTTCTCGCTCATCTGCTCACTGCCCCTGCAGAATGGGCCTGATTGCTACCACTTCGCAGGTGAGACAAATGAGATTCACAGAGAGCTGGGCTTCAGAGCCAACTCAGGATCTAGTGCCTGTGTTTGCCTTGCTGTGTATACCCAGAGCTGCCTCAAGAGAAGTAGTTAAGATGTGTTTTCTGAAGACTCTAGGGCATGATGGGCACTGGGGACTCAATGTTGGCATTTGACTAGTAGCATGAGGATGTGTGGGGAGCCAGGCCCAGAGACAAGAATTGGCTCCCGGTTCCTAAGCTGGTGCAGAGATCTACCTAAGAGAACCAGAGCTGCCTGGTCAGTTAGGGGGTGAGGAATGGAGGGTGGGGCCAGGCCCAGCGAGAGTCCAGTTCAGTAACTGGTACGTAAAGACCAGCTGAAGGTTTCTGGGCACCGGAGTCATGGACCGTGCGGGAAAGCCTGTCTGGCAAGACTGGGCTAAGGGAGAGAGAGGAGAGCTTGGAGTTGCCCAAGAAAGCCAACTAGTAGGGGACAATCACAACCCTAACCTTGGACTCAGAAGGAGGTAAAAGGGTGGCTGGAGACAAAGGGGTGGGTACCACAGAAAGAAATCATGATACTTGGAATGAATGTCTAGAACCATAGGTTCCCAACTGATTTGGCTTATTCACACACACACACACCCTTTTTTTTTTTTAAAAAATAATTACCCAGTGCTCCCTGGCAATTAAAAACACTTGTACTCTAGTTTATAACCCAGGGCAGAATATAGATACCTGGTTCTCGCACCCCCTGGGCGGCTGGGTTGCCCACTTTGGGCAAGACCTGGGGAGGCAGACTCTGTCAACTCTGTTCTCTACGAGTTCCTTCTGTGTGCTTCTGTCTGGTTGATTTAGAGAGATTTAACCCCGAGGTCAACAGTTCAAAACCACCAGCCACACTGCAGGAGAAAGATGACGCTTTCTACTCCTATAAAGAGTTATAGTCTTGGAAACCTACAGGCACAGTTCTACTCTGCCCTGTAGGCTTGCTATGAGTCAGAATCAACTCGATGGCAGTGAGATGGAGATTCTTAAAATTCATTTTTTAGTGTTTTCTCCAGACTCCCATATATCTGAATACTTTCAACACTGTTAAAGTATTAAAAGAAAAGGAAGCGTTAAAAGTCTGTGATGTGTATTTAATTTTTGAGTCTGAGAAAGCGGCTTTTTTGTGTGTGAAGAAGCATAAATATTATGCTCTGGGGCTAGGCCTTGTCCTTCTCTTTGTGTCTGAGGCTGGGAGATGATACTGCAGAGAAGCCAGTTTACAGGGAAAATGACTTTGAGATGCACTTTCCTAAAATAACCGCAGGAGTGACCTCATGAGCCCGCTAATAGCCTGGGTTTGCAAATGGATCCGTTTCTGTTAGCCGGCCTTGCTGGCTGCCGCAGAGCCCTGTCTGTGGAGAGCATTGTATCATAGCCTGTAGGCTGTAGCCAGGGGGGCGCCTGGGAAGAGGGGAAGCAGTCAGCACTCTGTGCAAGAGTGGACGGTGTAAGTGAACCTGTCTTAGGGGACTCGTGCCCTACACCCATTTTCTCGTTAAAGCTCAAGGAAGGGTACCCACGTCCATAATTTTCCTTTTCTGTTTACAGCTCCAAGCCCATGCCCCCAAGTCTGCCATATTGCCCGGATGTCCTCTCTGGCCACAGGCTGCAGAGGCCAGTGCCCCAGTTGGAGGGTACTGTCGCCCTCTGAGTGGTAGAGGTGCGACAGGTTCAAGGGAAGCAGCAGGACGGAGGTGCTTAAGGTCGCCTGTTACCATGGAGTCCGTTTCGATCCATAGGGAGCCTGCAGGGCAGAGTAGAGCAGTCCCATGGCTTCCCCGGGCTGTTCATCTAAGCACAGGCCGCCACGCTGTCTCCTGCAGAGTAGCAGTGGGTTCGAACTGCTCCCTACCCCTTATCAGCCAAGCCCTAAACCACCGGGCTTCTTGTTTTAAGTTGAGAGCTTGGTAAATTGTTTCACTTAACAAAAATCATTGTCAGCAATTAAGTCTATTCACAAAGTACCCCCATCACACACACAGGGAGAGAGAGCGTGAGCTCCAGAGCCAGGACATAGAGAAGAACCAGAACCCGTGTCGACCTGGATTTGTTTGTAGAATCCGTCTGAGCGAAGTCCACGTGTGTTCCAGATCATGCTTCACTACCTGCATCTCGCACCCCTGCACATACTAGAAACTTCCAAGAGGCTTAGGGCTAGCTTCCCCTTTTCATGAAGAGCCTATTTGTTCTTCTATCGTGTGTAACCAGCCGTCTCACTGAAGCTTGCACGGTGTATTTGATTATTTGGGGCTTTCCAGATACCTGGTCACGTCCTCTGTAAACGACGGTGATGTGTCCTGCTGCTCACTGGCATTGCATTGGCTGCCACCTTCAGAGTGATGTTGAAACATCGTGACTGTAATGTGTTAAAGGCTGGAAACTAAAGGAGGGCAGTAAGCTATAGGACCCATAGCAGCTGGCCGAAGTCAGACTCGGAGCCCGTTCATTACTCTGATCTTGGAAGAGTAAGTCTGTCGTGGTCTGCTTTCTCGCCCTCTGTATAATTCTTATGCATAGTCCACGGAGCTCTGGTAGCCTGTGGGAAAGATGGCTTCCCAGCTGTCTCTTGACTAGTGACACCTGCCCTCTTGTCTTCCAGGCCCAGCTCCGGGCGTTTATCCCAGAAATGCTCAAGTACTCCACGGGCCGGGGGAAGCCGGGCTGGGGCAAGGAGAGCTGCAAGCCCATCTGGTGGCCGGAAGACATCCCGTGGGCCAACGTTCGGAGTGACGTCCGCACAGAAGAGCAGAAGCAGAGGGTGAGCTGCCCACTGTCCCATTGTGTGCCAGCCACCCCGATTCTGGCCTTTTCTCCTCCGTCACTGTCGAGAGAAGACTGGGACAGGGCCACGGAATGATGCTTCTTCACAGTGGCTTTTTGGAGCAGCCTTGATTTTACGGGGTGCTGCCTAGACCTGCATACATGTGAAGAAACAGCGCTCTGAAGGCTTGGGCTCATTGTTGGGAAGTGTTACTATCTTGGCGCTGGGGGAGTGTGAGTCGATGTAAGCCTCTGTTCAAGCAGACTTTATTCCTTCCCTCCCTGTCAGCTTCATTTGCCATTGAGCTGGACGCTTACTTTATATCCAATGCTTGCCAAGAGTAGCATGCTCGGTGAGAAGTGTACTGGTTGGCTTCACTTTGGAGTAGTCGATAAAGCCCAAGAGGTAAACCACAGGAAGGAAGCTGGCGGCGAAGTTTCTATTGTGTTCCTCCGTGCTCGTGCATGTCCACGGGAAATAATCCTGTGGGCATTTGGTTGGGTTTGATAAACCAGCAGCTGCTCACTCAGTCGAGGGACAAATCGCCCAAGGACTCTGAGGCTCAGTGTGCTTTTCTGGCCTTTTGCTGGCAGGTTTCGTGGACCCAGGCCCTACGCACCATCGTCAAGAATTGCTATAAGCAGCACGGGCGGGAGGACCTTTTGTATGCTTTTGAAGACCAGCAAACACAAACGCAGGCCACAACCACACACAGTATAGCCCATCTGGTACCATCACAGACTGTCGTCCAGACCTTTAGTAACCCCGACGGCACTGTCTCGCTTATCCAGGTGAGTGAACCCACGGAGACAGAACGCGGTGTCTGCAGCAGGTCAGTCAGCGCCTCAGGCTGGAGAAAGTTGCCTTTGCCCAAACTCTTGTGTGAACTCTGTATCGCTCCCCAAGACCCTTCCTTGCTGAAGTTGATTTCTGAAGCAGGTTTAAGCAGGTTGCGTTTGCCAGATACAGAGCTATGGCTAGCTCGCATGGACATTTCCAACATGAAAACAGCTAGCCCTGTTTTGCTCTGCCCGTGACCAGGGAGCATGTGGTCCGCGGTAAAACACATTGTGTTGCCAGGTGGAGGGAGAGTAGCACGGTGGCCAGCGTGGCGTGGACCGGCCTGGCTGGAGTCATGCCCGGGTGCTCCTGTGAGTCTCTGAGAGGGACTTGAGCAGCTCGGCCCAGAGCAGTCGGCAGTCCCCGTGTGTGGAATAGCATGGTCTTAACTTCAGCGTGAAGGCGAGGTGGAGTCACTTACCCACACATCACTTTCCGTGTTTTTCTTTAGGTTGGTACAGGGGCAACAGTAGCCACATTGGCTGATGCTTCAGAGTTGCCAACCACAGTCACTGTTGCCCAAGTGAATTATTCTGCCGTGGCTGATGGAGAGGTAAGACCGAGGGTACAGTCCGCATCTGTTTCAACCCGGCCTTCAGTGTGTAGGCGAGGGAGGAGCGAGGGGCCCACAGACAGAGAGGCTGCAAGTAGCTTCCATGTCTGTAGCATGATTCACACCAGACCACGATTGCTTTGTAATAAACCCCATGCTATGTGTTAATTGTAACAGTTGAATTTCACAGGTCATTATGATTCAAACCTGACTGCCAGGAGCCCTGGTAGCAGAGTGGGTTACGGGTTGGGCTGCTAACCACAAGGTCAGCAGTTCAAACCACCAGCCACTGCACCGGAAAAAGTCAAGGCTTTTTACTCCCATAAAGAGTTACTGTCTCAGAAATCCACAGAAGCAGTGCTACCTTATATTCAGTGACAAGTGAGATGTTTATAGGACATAGGGAAGGGACTGTTAGAGAATTGATTCAAATAATAAGAACTTTTACTGAGCACCTATTGAACTAAGCATTCAACCCAGTGAAGCAATAGGTTCTGTTGTCATCTCTTTATACAGATGTATAGAGTTTAGATGCCTTTGCCCAAAGGCGGAGTGAAGTGTTGAGTCTGGGTACCATGCTTTCAAAAGCATATCTAAGGTCTGAGCTTTGAGCCATCAGTTCAGACCCATGAAAGAGCTCATTCATTACGTGGCACTGGGTCTTTCCCTGAAATCCCCTAGTGGGGTGTACTCCTGAACCTTGAAACACCCCCAACAAATGTCCTCCAAGAGTGGTGTGCACCCCAGAGAGAGCTGGACGTGTGACGCACCGTGTTCAAAGCCGGGGACGGTTCCACAGAGAGCACTCCTGTCCCAGTGACTTTCATGTGTGCCTGGGAGGCAAACTCAGGAGAGGGCCACCCGAGCTCCCCGCAGGGACTCAGAAGAGCGTGCGGAGCTGACCTCTGTGAGCACTGTGCTCCCAGCAGCTCCAGCCTCGCGTCGGGCCCTGCTGGGCAGAGGGGCTGGGCGGCCGGGCTGGAGAAGACTCAAAACGGCACAGCGCGGACCCTGCCCTCAGCGAGGAAACCTGCGGTCTGGGGCAGAAGACAGCGTTGGGTTCCTCGGTGTGGACATTTACTCTTAAAAGTAATTAGACGTGAACAAATAGGATTCGCTGAGCCAGAACTTCACCAACCCTGAGACCAGAGGACACTCCTTGGAATGTAGAGCGGGAGAGAAGACAGTGGGTTAGTTTTACTTACTATATTCTCACCTATGGAGGTAATCTACTCATTCAAAATGCTTGAGAAGTATGAAGGGTTATTTTAAGTGACTATCAATCTCAGTGACATTTTCCCCCCTTTAATTTGTTTTTTCAGGAACTTTTTGAAGCCTCCTTGCATCTATAGATGTTTCAGTACTAACATAGCTTTAAGTCTTCTATTGCTGTCGAGTCAATTCCAGGTGATCGCAGCCCTGCAGGACAGGGAGCACTGCCCGAGGGTCTCTGTGGCTGTGCCTCTTCCCCGGAGTAGAAAGCCTCATCGTGCTCCTGTAGAGCAGCTGGTGGTTTCAAACTGCTTTCTACTCCCGGCAAGAGTGACAGTCTCGGAAAACCACATGCGCAGCTTTATCCTGCCCGACAAGGTGGCTGTGAGTCGGAATCAACTCACTGGCCAAGAGTTGGCTGTGGATCATGGTCTCTTTCCTGAGGGTGATCTCTCAGATCTGCTGATGGAATGCTTTCTTTGTGCTAAGAATACTTAATAATCTGAGTGGCACAAAGAAACAAAAAATCAGCTCTAACTCATTTCAGATTATCTAGGAACACAGAACACTGTACAAGCTACATTGATAAACACAAATAAACACGGACACAATTTCAGAATATTAGGATGTGAACTGTATGGTTGATTTAAGTCCAAAGATAGGACTGCAAAATCACGGAAACTTGTGTACAGCAGTACGCAACACGAGGCTCTTGTGCCCTCAGAGTTCCTCCACCTGGGTCGGTGTGGCTTTGCACACGGGTTTTCTGCCTTGCTGCCCCTTCCTAAAGAACTGCTGCTGCTTTGACTGCATCACATCGTAACGGCAGTTTTGACATCCTCAGGCGACTCGGATCACGTCCTTTTCAATGTTCTTTGAGTTTGGGAAACAAAAAGAAGTCTGAAGGGGCTACATCAGGGCTGTAGGGGGGGTAAGATTTTCCAAGAAATTCTGATAGGGCAGCCTTTGAAAATGAGCAGATTCATTCATGTGATGGGAAAACATTACTTGGCACAGCTGTCTGGGCTTTTTTCTCACAGCGCAGTTTTCTTACAACCTCTCCATAATAGGCCTCTATGATCATCCTGTGTCCTCCAGAAAACCTGTCAGGGTGACTCCTGTGAGACCCCAAGCAGCCCCCGCTGACCTCTTTGCCCGGCAGACCCCTCGAAAGTGACTGCTTTGACGGGGCTTTTTTTTGGTTTGCTTTCTGAAGCACCCACATGAGACTAAGACAACAGGTGTATTACTGAGAGGACCTGCCTGCAGCTGTCCAGAAACAGGTTTAAACAGGTTTTGTTGGGAATAAACCTAGCATGTATGAACTAGATCCCTAGCAGCAACATTTTTTGACTTGGCCTCAAAAAAAAGATAGCTGTACAGGTCGGATTTTTTGTTTTTAATTTTTTTGTTGACACACACACGGGATATACACCAATTTCTATATGTATAATGCAGTCACATAATTTTTTTTTAGTTTCAATTTTGATAACATTCATACATACAGATTTGAGAATTTATTCTCTTGTATAATAAAACACCAGTTGGTATTGGTGGTAAGTCATATAATTAAGTAATTGATGTGTCAGAAGAGTAAAGTTGGAAATGAGGTTATATTTGATCATATATAAGTCGTTCTTGTTTAAAAGGGAGACAGACACACCCAGATACAAAAGCCATTGTGGTGGTTGTTGCGTCAGTTCCGACGACGCACAGCGACCCCGTGCACAGCAGAAGGAAGCACTGCCCGGCCCTGCGCCAGCCTCTCAGCTGTTCCTGGACCTGAGCCCATTGGTGCAGCCACGGGGTCAGTCCCTCTCCTTGCGGGTCTGCCTCTTCGTTGGCCTCCACTTTACCAGCACGTGTGATCCCTTTGCAGCTGCACGGTTCCGAGTAGGGGAGCTGTGCGTGAGTACTAGTTAGCCCAGCGCCCGGAAGGTGAACAAGCGTGCTGTGGAGGACACCGTCAGGAGCACTGCAGAGGGGCTCTCCTTCAGACCGCGAGGAGGGGGTTGTCCAAGAGACACGTCCTGGAGACAGGGCAGCTCGAAGGGCGCACAGTGAGACCAAGGCTCAGGGCCGAGATGCGCTCCTATCAGGAGCCACACGCGCAGTGCAATGGCGGGGAAGCGTGTCGCGTCGTGCAGAGCCTACCAGAAGGAGAAGAGGAGCTGCAGTTCGAGGGGCTTCGTTCATCGGCTCTCAGAATAGCATGGGAGCTAGTGGCGTGCTCCCAATCTCTGCCCTCCTAGTTGGTAGCCCTTTCTGTGGGATGCCTGTGTCTTTCCTGCGTCAGCCAACACACCCTGGCTGCTCCCAACAGATGGAAGGAAGCCCAACAGAGGTTCAAGCCAACAGCTGAAGCACCGAGAATCACTGGAGGGACTTCCAAGAAGTGCTTAGTCTAAGGAGACTTCTTTACTGACTACCATATTACTGATTAGAAATCTCTTCTTCTTGTTCCTGTGTCCCTCCACCCAACTACTGCCACCCCCACCACTTCTGCTGGGCATTCGAATGTAGCTTCCTTAAGTTATCTTGCATACGACACCATTCAAATACTGTTTTCACTACCAATATAGTTGTAGTGTGTGTGTGTGGGGGGGTGAAAGTTGTTGCCGGTGGCAGCAGCTGGGAGAGCTGTACTGGGCCATACCTGAGAGATGGATGGGCAGAGGACAGCTATTGATGGCCACAGGTGACTGTGCTGGCCACGCTACGAACAGACAGTGTGGCTGGCCATCGAAAGCAGCTCGTTCACAATGAGCTGCTGGAGTAGGGAGATCTGAGCAGTAAAACCTTGGGAAGCAGGAGTTTTGTGAGCTCCTGAGCAGTCGTCTTTGCAGCTCTGAAGGTAGGAAACCAGATAGCTCTATAGTGAGGGCCCTGATGGCTTCCTGGCACCTTCCACTGCCCCAAGAGGAAGGTGGCTCAAAGGAATGTCTCACTCTCCAAGGCCCTCGACAGACATTCTGCGGTAACGATCTTGGTCTAGGCATAGCAACAAAACCTGTTACTGGAGGGGCATCTAAATGCCTGCTGCTTCCGTGAAGGCAGAGCAGTGACCTGCAGACCTGAGCTGACCACTCTGGTCCCCAGCTGCGTGAGTCAAGGGCAGCAAGGGCCTACGCTCCAGAGGCCCCTTGAGACCGGACCTGCTGGTCTGCTTACCGGCCGCCATGCTGCTCTTGGAAGTGGCCTTGGAGGCCCTTGCTGCTTTGCAGCTTCTGTGAGGGCCAGCTGCCCAGCCGGTTTGTTGACCAAAGCAGAATGCAGCACCTAATAGAGCTCGAAGCGGAGAACACTGAGCACTTCTCCACCGAGGGCCGTGTTGCCCCCTCATCCATAAACACTTGCCAT